AACCATCAGTGTTCAGTTTGACCCAAGGAGGGTCGGGTCTAAGCTAAACGACAGCTATGGGATGAAGAGACCGAACAGGCGCAAGGGGGGCCACCATGTAGCGGTGTGGTGGCGTGCAGCCTGTCTAGTCTCGGGCAGTGAGCCTGCCCAATGATGTGAGGAGTGAAAGGTGTCTCTCTACCTACAAAACAGTGTGAGAAAGCAAAAAAAAAAAAATATTATATGCTTCGCACTATTCCTTTCCGTCCAGGTGAACAAAAGGATCAGACAAGGAATGAGGAAGCCCACGTGTCTAAAGTGTGTGCTCTATGAGGAAAAACTCAAGAGCTCAAAGAAACTGTCTGTGGTGGGTAGGGATATATGAGTCCAAGTGGCAAAATACTCCCACACTCTCCTCACAATCTCACACTCTAGAAAAATGTGGGTAAAGGTCTCGGTCTCATGACGTTCGGTCTCAGAACAACACACACACCGGGAGGGAAAGGAGATCCCCCTCGCATGTAAAACATTGTCCACGGGTATCCGGCGCAAGAGGAGGCACCAAAGGAAAACAGAAATGGTAGAGGTGAAAAGATCGCTCTAGATGCCGAAGAGAAGATTAGGCCGATCTCTCAGCCTGATCTGCTCCCAAGCCGAGGTAGTAGAAAACACACCCGATGATGTAAGTCTCCACCTCATGCCATCTGAACCGTCCCCCGAGATGGGTATCTGCTGGATCTGATCTAATAAATGCTCACTAAAACCAGCCCTAGAGCCCAACTCTCTATCAAGCTTCCCCTATCCCATGACCCGTCCGTCCAAAGGTCACTCACAAGCAGGTAGGGGGAATGCGACACCTGTCTATCTCTAGACAACGACCTATCACCTAACCACCACTCATCCCAGAAAATAACATCACCCTCACCCAAAACCCGAAAGATGTGATCCTGGGCGCACCTACCGACCCTAGTGAGGTGCCGCCACTGTCTGCTATCATGACTAACTGCCGTCACCCAACAAGGGTGGTTGGCATGTCGAGAGCAGTACTTTTCGTGAAGGTGCTAGGCCTAAAGCGACTTTCCTTCCCTGAAGCGCCACCACAACTTGTATGAGAAAGCAGCAACAATATCCCTGAGGTGGCGCATGCCAAGGCCACCCACAGAGAAAGGCCGGCATATAGAGTCCCAACTCACCCAGTGGGTACGTCTCCCCCTCTCGAAACCGTCCTCATAACCCTAGAAAAAACGAGCCATAATATGGTCAATCTCGTCAAGAGTAGACTTAGGGGGGTTGAGGACCATAAGTAATAAAGCGGAAGGGAGCTAAGGGTATTCTTGATCAGCGCAAGCCGACCACCGAAAGAGGATGTCTATGCGACCAACCAGAAATCCTATCGATCATCCTCTGTCTGATGTCTGCAAAGAGCGCTCTCATGAGGTGGCCCTTATATAAAGGGGCACCAAGGTAGGTAATGGGAAGCTCGCCGCGCACAAAGCCAGTGATCTCGTGGATCCGCTGAGCCCATTTGTCCCTGTTGGAGGAGGAGGGTGAAGGTGCTCTTCTGCACACTGATCAGCTGTCCGGTAACCAAGCTATAGTGTTCCAGAAGGTGCATAAGCTCGATCAGCCCATCATCATCTGCCCGGGTGAAGATGATGATGTCATCCGTATAGGAAAGATGCGATATGGGAGGACCATAGCCACGGGTGTTGTATGTCATCCGTGGATAGTCGCGGATGAAGCCGTCAAGACAGCGAGAGAGGTAGTCTACCGCAAGAACAAAAAGGGATGAGGAAAGAGTGTCACCCTGTCTAAGGCCTCTAGAGGAGGGAAAGAATTCGGTGGGGCTACCATTAACCAGGACCGAGAACGTGCAGTGCTGCACACACGCCTCAACAAAACTGATCCACCTCTCATGAAATCCCATCCTAGCCAGTGCCTCCCTATGAAACGACCACTCCACCCTATCATACGCCTTAGCCATGTCTAGCTTCAGCGCAATGATCGGTGCCGGTTTTCAATCCGCATGGGAGATATCGTGGATCATCTTCTGGGCCAAAAGTATGTTATCACTAATGACCTGATCCTTGACGAAACCACTCTGGTTCGGAGAGATAAGGGAGGGGAGAAAAGGGGAAAGGTGGCTGTTAAGAATCTTAGAAATGAGCTTGTTGGTCACGTTACAATGGTTGATGGGCTTGTAGTCGGACCAAGAAATCGGATTGGGTCTTTTGGGAATCAAGATGACAGAGGTAGACGTGAAAGAATCTGGCATCCGGTGACCGAAGAATAAATCCAACATTGCTTCCTCAACATCAGGCTCGATAATTTTCTAGCAGACCTGATAGAAAAGAGAAGAGAACCCATCGGGGCCAGAAACGCTGTTGGAATCAATCCCGAAGAAAGAATCCCTAACCTCCTCCCTTCTCAGGAGCTCACAAAGGCTGACAAGGTCGACCGAAGGAGGAATGGTGGGAAAGAAGAAGTGATTGGGGCATCAAGAGCCCCTCTATCGGAGGTGAAAAGGGTGTAAAAGTGAGCAACAGCCGACTCTCGAATCTGAGACTCTTGGGCCAGGGTTGACCCATCAGCCTCAATACTGTGTATGTACAACTTAGCACGCTTCTTCCTAAGAAGCCCTGGAAGAACCTAGTATTCCTCTCGCTATAGGCCACCCAACGAACGGCCACCTTCTGCTTCCAGAAATCCTTCTCCATAAGGAGTCGGAGCTGGTACTCGGCATGGCAGCGGCGCATCTCAGTCCTATTCTCCGGAGTGGGATCCAGATCATAGGCTTGCTCAGCCTCCGCGTGCACACTCTGCGCCGCAGAAAGGCGCTGATGGAGGTTTCCAAAAACATCCCAGTTCCACTGTCTCAACCTACGCCGTAGTCTGCCGAGCTTTGTCTCGAGATTGCGCATCCCGAAGAGCCCAGTCGGCTGAAGCCAGGAATCCCTGACAGTGTCGTGGAAGAAGTGGTCGCAAACCCACATGCTCTAGAACCTAAAGGATGAACGGCGAGGGGTGCTAAAAAATTTACACCTAATGAGGAGGGGTGAATGGTCAGACCCAAATCGAGTGAGGTATGAGACGGCCGTGACCTCAAACACCTTCGACCATGCCTCAAAAACCAAAGCACGGTCGAGCCTCTCTTTGAGGTCATCCCTAACCCACGTTAAGGGCTCACCCTCACAACCAGCATTAATCAACTCACAGTCCGCCACAGCCTGAGAAAAATCCCACATCTCCATAGAACGATCCGAACAACCACCCACACGCTCATCGGGATACAAAAGGATGTTGAAATCGCCACTAACCATCCATGGCAATCCTTCCATACTCTCAGCAATCTCACACAGGGTGTCCCAGAGATCATATCTCCCGACCCTATTACACATGGCATAAACCAAGTTGTGGAATATGGGCTCAGGGAGATAGGTCGCAGAAAGCTCGATATATAGCACCTGATCAGTGTCCCAGAGGACCCAACAGGTATAATCACGCGAGTGGAAGAACTAGATCTTATGCGATGTGTTACCCACGCTCGAGTGGAATCCAATGCACCGTGAGTAGTAGTAAAACTTAGGGGTGCGAATCATCGGCTCTATAAAGCCAACGAAATCCAATCTATGATCACGTATGAGAGAATATAGATGAGCGAGAGTGGCCCTATTGGCCAGGACCCGGCCATTCCAAGTAATAGATGTGATAGAAATATCAACAGTCGTGAGAGCCAGCAGACGTGGTCCGACTGTGGCGATGCTGGGTCGAGCCACCTGAAGGAGGGGGAAGGTGGCGAAAGGATCGAAGGGCAGTGGAGAATGTCTGTCGTTTCATACGTGGTGTGGGTCTGGTCTTCGAGGGGGGACGCCCTCAGTAGGTGCTTGTAGCCCCCGAGTCATATGGCCGAGCAATCGGACCCAGAGCGGCACTAAGGACCTACCCTATTTTCGTGGCAGTCTTCTGTCTGTCAAAGTGGACGAAAGAGCTAGAGGCGAAACTCTCGCAAGAGACGTCATGCTAAGCGCAGTTAAGACCGCATGTATGCTTCGAGATGGGAGGGAGAGAGGCTCCATTCAGCGGAGCACTCGGGTGCTCACCGACAAAGTGAGGCTGGTGAATAGCTGTATGCTCAGCTGAGCTCCCAATCTCAGCGGAGGGAGAATGTGCCAGCTCATCCTCTTTCGGGAGAGCGGTTACGGGAGCAGTCCTCATCTCCAGGGGGTGGTCCTAGCTAGATGAGTGAACCGACAAAGGAACAACATCGTGAGTGTTGTCATCAGATAGATAGATGGACGTGTCACTGGTTGAGGTGTCTGGCTGCTCCAGATCCTCAACAATAAGGTCATCATCGTCTGAAAGAAGAAGGTCTGAAGACCTACGAGTGTCACTGGTAGAGGGCTCAGTCTCATCCTCTGCCTCGGGGGAGAGGACAACAAAGAAGGAGTGATTGGCCTTAAAGGCCGACTGTAAGGTATCTCTGGGTAGAAAGCCCAAGGCTTTGGCCTTGGGCTCTACTGTAGCCAATTTCTTAGGCTGGTTAGGATGAGCATCCCTCCCAGTTTGGGCAGTGTCGACCATCACAGCTTTGCCCATATCCTTGGCCCCCTTTGGGGACCCAGGCGCATGAAAAGGGCCTTTGCCTTTTCCTTTCGGGTCACTCCAGCCGTTGGAGGGTCCCGACTGAGTCGCACGGTGGCGTTGAGGTGGAGTGGGTCATGGCTTATTGCCACTGATGTAGCAATCATCCGCTATATGTCCCACATGACAGCACGCTGAACAGAAAGCAGGGATCTTCTCGTAGATCACCCGTTGAGCAAAGGTCTTCGGGCCCGTTCTCAATCTCAATCTCAAAAATTGGCTCGACTCTGATGTCGATCTCAACACAAAATCGTGCCACGTTAGCCCTCGATTGGAGGGCTGTCGGGGCATCAATGCAAACCGGTTTTCCGACACACTTAGCAAGTGTAGTGATGGAATCCCGATCATAAAGGTGTAGTGGAAGGCTGGGGAGGCGACACCACACGGGGACGACAGGCGTCTCCGTCTTTGGGTTAAACCCGAAAGTATACTTGAATACCTTAGCTGGGCATCCACAAACGGGAATAGAGGTCTTAAGTCAAGCCTCATTACAGTCCTTCGGGAGATGGAAAGAAACGAGGAGATGGTTGAAATTATACCACTTAAAAGACACTCTACACCTAAAACCCAATTTACCTAATCCAGTAGATAAATCTCGGGTAGCGGGGATAGCAGAGGTAAACTTAAAGACCAGGGTGTTAGCTAACTTACCGGCAAGGGTGCCAGCTTCGGCCTGAGTGAATGGGACCTTCACTTTGTTTTCCTCCGATCGGATAATGGTTCCGCAAGTGCGCTCATAGTCCCTGTCAAGTGTGAACTCTTTGGCTGTTGGGCGTGGACCCGTGCAGCCATCTGTCTTCCCCGTGATAGCCTCTCAGAAGGATAGCGGGCCATTGGCTATGGCCGGAAGGGGTCTGGCTGTAGTGAGAGTGGGAGTGGCCGTTGGGATGCCCGTCGGTGGTGTCGAGGAGGGGCCGAAAAAGTGGCAATGGACGTCTTGCTTGGCCCCGCAACAACCACTTCGTCCTCACGTACATATAAGATGTCTGGATTGGGATCTCTGGAGGTGGCTATTCCATCGCTTTGAAGGGTCGGACGAGGTGAAATTGGCCGGGATTTGGGGCCACCAGCCGATTTGGATGGTTCGCCGGAGAAGGGGCAGTTGTTGGGCCCAGCGCTGTGGGTCGGCCCAAGAGTTTCCGGAAATACGGTCCTGCCGTTTGCCGGCGAAGGAAAGCCGGAGAGGGTTGTTGGGACGTGTCCTAAGGTGGGGGCTGAAAAT